ACATTTTGATCATAATTTGCAGTTGTTTTAAAAATCATGAAGACAAAAGACAGACAGCAGTTAAGTAAACACTCCACAACCAAACATTAAACCAGACTTAATCCATTAAAAACAATGTAACATTTAGTGCTAGCTTTTATTCTATCGAATGTTTATTTAAGTAAAAAATATGTCTTTTGGAATAAAATCAGAATATTACGTTTATATTTAAACGGTCTTTAAAAATAGAAAAAATTATAAATATATTTTTCTAATGTCGCATGGTTTACCTAGTGCTATGACATGAAATAATAAATAAAACTTTTTTGTCGTTTAACTTTTATATTTTATCTGTTTCTTTCTTCATACTAGTTTTTCAAATCTAGGTCAAGTATGGTATTGACATTTTCAATAATTGACTTTTTAAATGCGTTTAATCTGACAAAAAAAATACTCTAAAATATGCAACTGCGATCAACATTAGCAAAATAAAATATGTCAATAAAGCCTTTTCTTGATTAATCGTATTAGAAGCTTTCCGAATAGATATTGTTCCGAGTCTGAATTTGTAAACACTATATGATTGATGGTACTCAATCCTTAGTCGCTTATCAATAAACCGGAAACCGAACGATTCAATCAAAGTCTTTTCAATTGATAACCTATGGTGTATGCAGCATCGTCCTATTAAATAATTAGAGCACTATATGGTAATAAAGTATTTCATAAGTTCTCATTATATAGACAACAAACAAAGTCGTACATCCAAACAATTTTACAAAGACAGCATAATGCAAGATGCAATTCATTGACATTGGCATTGTGCAAATACTAATAGGTTTTCAAAATAACATGAAGTAATCTAATTATTGAAATATCCATTGAGAACATTGTAACTAATGACATTTTTCCTACTAATCCAATGTAAATATATTCGAACCGAAATTTATGATCTAGATAGGTCATTCAGTAACTGTTAGTTGAGTATAATATAGAAGTGGACCAATCAACAAACAAAAACCGAGGGAAATTATGCAAATTTAAGTACATAAAAAAATGTACTACTTTTGAATATGACAACTGTTCAAATGAAAAATGTGATGTGAAAACAAAGACTTCGAAGATACAAAATAATGAATATTCTATTAAAACACAGGCAGATTAAATATGATAAAAAAGTAATTGGACAAAACAAAAAACAAAAACAAAAAGTGCATGCGTACTACGATTAAATAAACCTTACAAATTGCGATATCCAATGTATATGCTAGACTAGACATGCACCGCGTGGTGCTATTTTGAAGAAAAAATAAGACAAACACAATTTTAGTTCCCGTGGTATTTAAGAAAAATTCCCAGACAAACTAATAATTTTATGGGAACCAACTGTCCTCCGCTCCTTGCCGACTTGTTCCTTTATTAATATGAGGCAGACTTCATACAGGAGCTTCTAAGGAAGAATGAAAAGAAGCTAGAATTATCTTTTAACGATCCGCTATATAGATGATGTTCTCTCACTAAATAATTCGAAGTTTGGTGACTATGTTGAACACATCTATCCCATTAAACTTGTAATGAAATATAGGATACAATAGATACAGTTAAGTCTACCTTATATCTTGACCAACATATAGAAATTGACAACGAAGGTCGGTTGAGAACAAACCTATACGACAAAAGAGAGGATTTGACCTTCCCAATTGCAAACTTTCCATTTCTATGTAGCAACATTCCAGCAGCACTTGCATATGGAGTATCTCCCAGTTGATACGATTTTCCAGAGTTTGCATTTCTTATCATGATTTCCTTGATAGAGCTATTAAAGCAAGAGTTCCAAGTGATGAAGTTGAAATCTTCACTTCGCAAATTTTACGGACGCCATCACGAGTTGGTTGACCGTTTTGGAATATCTGTTTCGCAGATGACGACGGAAATGTCCCAATTATCGTAACCTCAATCCCGTCCTCTTTTTCTCGAATGTGACCTACCGACTTATCAGCGGATTTTTACTTACATGAGCAACACGACGGGTGCCACATGTGGAGCAGGATCTGCTAACCCTTCCGTAAGACACGAGATCACCTTGAAGGATTTCGTGTTGCTCAGTCTTTAGTTTTCTTTGTTGTGTTTTGTGTACTGTTTGTCTTTTCGTCGTTTTTCGTTTTTTTGCCGTGGCATTGTTAGTTTGTTTTCGACTTATGAGTTTGAATATCTCTTTGGTATCTTTCGCCTCTCTTTTGTATATCCCTGTTGTATATTCCGCCTCTCGTTTAGTATATTTAAACATTGTATAAACTGAACATTTGCGTTTCTGACGAAAGTAAATCAAGAAAAATGCTTCGGACGCACGAAATATATAAATTGTTATTTTTAAGATGCCGCTGCTGGTGGACTGGAAGTCCATATGCTATCATCATTCCAGTAGTCAGTGATTCGGTACTGACATGATTTATAACTGATTTTTGTTTATTGGATTCTGTGGATAAATTAAGAAATTTCTAAAAAAATATTAAGGTTTTGCAAAGTTAACCTAATTATAAATATTGTAACAAAGGGATATTTCGTGCAATATCGATTCAATGTCACGTCACTTAAGACTCGTTTAGGGACGGAATAATAATTTTCATTTTTGTGTAAACATTAAAATTTTTATAACTACAATTTTTAATCCTTTTTATCTGCAATATAAAACAATATTAGGTCAATGTCAGAGAAATATATTTAGTATTCGGCAATAAACTGAAGAAGTAAGGATTCGGTAAACTTCGTCCTTCCCCAGGGTAATTAATCAATTTCTAATCATTATACAAAAAAAGTTGATATTTGTCTGACATTGACCTTGTATTGTGTATAGTTACATGTATATATATATCCAACGCAATCATAGGTTTGAACGTTGTTTTCAATTTAGACTTATTTATACATATATATAGTAGGGTTTAAGAACATCAGTTGTTCGACCTGTTAGTCAAATGCGATTTGTTAAAATATACTTTTCACTTTTTTGGTCTTTTGTAAAATGTTGTTTGTGCTGTATTTAGACCCCTCTACCAAGAAATTTGTTTTACATGCACACGTATAAAAATTGCGGTTTTTATTCAACGCAATCATAGGTTTGAACGTTGTTTTCAATTTAGACTTGGGGGGCCTCGGTGGCCGAGTGGTCTAAGTAGTTACTACTGTAACCACTAGCCAGTCAACACTGAGGTTGTGAGTTCGAACCCCGCTCGTGCGGGTGCACTCGACTCCAATCTTAATTGACTAGGATTGTCAGTTTTCCTATCGAAGGTCGGTGGTTTTCTCCGGGCACTCCGGCTTCCTCCACCAATAAAAACTGGCCGCCACGAAATAGCCCAAAAGCGGTGCTTAAAAGTGGCGTTAAAACACCAAAAATCAAATCAAATCAATTTAGACTTGTATATATATATATATATACATACCTGGCTTTTAAATATTCAGGTTTGAACGTTCCTGGTGAAGATAATTCCATAAATGCGCTTCGGATGCACGAAATTTATCAAGTTTTATTTTCATATTCATTTGCAATCAAAATGTGTCACTTTTTTCATGCAAGAATCGAAGCCCTAACTTCTGGTCAGATTTTACTATCGGTAGACTGACAGCAGCGGCCACGACCTAGAAGTATGAACGTAATCATGTGGTACCTATCGATTTCAATGTGTTCGACACGTGTTTCTGAAATAACTATAATCAGTTTATTTTAGTTTTTGAAACCACGAAAATATAGGAACTTGGTGTTGATTTTGTACTTCTAAACAAAACAAAACAGACTTAGTACAAGGCTACTTTTTATATCAAATATAATTATTTTCGCCATGAGAAAGAACATATACCTCTATTCTAAACATTCTTTACATCAATCAATAAGTTCATATATTTAAATACACATAAATATCTCATTTAAATTTTATGTAAGATTTTTGCATTGCAATAACCCATAAAATAATATCAAGGTCGTATTTGATAATTGCATATCTTGAGTAGTAAGCGTACTTCTCATCTTATTTTCATTAGATTGTAATCAAGTTCATTTTTTCTATGGTGTTTTTTTAAAGTTATTTACCAGGAACCTAAAACATTTATTTGTATGACTTTTAAATTTAAAACTGTAATGACTTATTGACCTATAATGGTTTACTTTTACAAATTGTGACTTGGATGGAGAGTTGTCTCATTAGCACTCATACCACATCTTCTTATATCTAATTATTTACAATTTGAATAATAATGTAAATTTTCTATCCATTGTATAGATTAATGCATTCCATAGCCAGGCTTATTATAATTTATTCCACCAGACGAACGTTTTTCGACTACACAACACTCATCAGTGGCGCAAACATTTAAATCGTTGGAAGGCAAAACCAATGCACGGTTTCGGAGGTAATATCGAGACAAAAAATTTTTTTTTTACTTTATTGAAATTCTCAATGATTCCAACAGTATCATGACAAAAGCCTCATTGATAATCAAACAAAACAAGTCTGGTTTTATTTGTCATTTATTGCACTTTACAATACATAACTATTACACTTTGGAACTAATATGAAGTCATAGTGTGATCTTAAAAATAGTGTATATTTCATATTTTGTTCTGTAAATACCATTTTAGAGAATTCATTATATAATATAAAAATGTTTCCGTAGGGAAAGGGGAGTAATCGAGTTCATCCCAAAGTACTGGTGAAATTAACAAATATCCATGAAAAAAAGATGAACAAGTGTACAGACGAGAAAACGAAGTTCAATTGAAACAAAAAGATATAGATAGAGAAAAACTAATTAAACTTGTCGATCTCTCATCACACTCGTAAATAATTACATACGTTAACCTCTATGATGCAGTACTGGTGTGTTTAGCTTAATTGGATATATAAATAAAAAGATTGATTGATTGCTTATCGTTCAGTGGCAAACATTACATGCACGACAGGTAGACTGAGTAGGTTTTCTTCGATTTCGACTGAAATTCTCTCTTGCAACAGACCATCTACGGACTACTCAAAGAGTTGTTGCAATGGTTCTTTAACGTGCTGAGTGTGTGGCAAACTCCTAAGACGAGGCATCGAATTTATACAATTTTATAATATCTCGTTTTCGACCGGACGTGGCTTTGAATTCATACACCCCACACAGCCAAACAGACACAAACCCTTTAGCAAAGTTTTACTGTCGGTCGGGTGAGGTCAAGAGAAGATATTGGGTATATTTTAATGATGCAGCAACCTAACGACACAGAAAAAGCAAGACATCTATAAGCCAATACACACTTTTCAACAGTTGACAGATGTATAAACAGAACGACAAGCTCTATAAACCACACTATGGCTTTAAAGTTTATATATTAACATTTATATCACACGGTAATTAGGAAAATTTTAAACATTTGTTTCAGTTATTTCTTTGCAAAACGCCACATCGAATAACACTACTCTCTATTATTATTTTTCTTCTTCTCTTTTTTACACTTCATAATGTGTATCTACTGTCTTAATACGGGTAATTCTATCTGATTATACCGTGAATTATAAAAATAGGACAGGTAAGAGTAACATAAAGGTTGAAGATATAAAAAGGATATTCACATTTATAAGTCGATAACAAGCCGACAACGCCATGGTAAAAAAAAACAAAAAAAGACAAACAGTCTTCAAATCACAACATAGAAAAAACGAAAGACGGAGCAACACGGACCCCACAAAATACCGAAGATGGTCTCAGGAGTTCAGGAATGGTAAGCATGTCTGGTTTCAGATGTGGTACCCGTCGTGTTGCCCATGTAGGAACAACTCGATGATGTCCCATTCGAGGGAAAAATGTTGCTTAAATTTTCGTCTTGTGACTCTGTATGGTGTTGCTAGTTCTTCGACTTAAGGATTATGAATGCCTCATATGAATTCCCGACCGCATATTACATACGGGCACTTCCGATCAATAAGTATTGGTATCTTTAACATTAAATGAGGATGTATAACCCATGTAGTTGATACTGTTAAATGAAAATATGATAATTTCTTTTTATTTCCTGGGATAGAATGCTCATAGTAACAGAAAGAAAGCAAAAAGTATTAAAACTCTTATTTATTCAAGATTCCTTCTTACATTTTAATTTCGGTCATGGAATCCATATTTATCATACAAAGAACAAACTTAACACACAAAAAGTCTATATCACAGCCTTATCTATTACAAACCGTTATATCATTTTTGTTTCTATTAAGATATCGAACACATGTACCACATATATATAAAATTAAAGATTCAAATTATTTTTCAGTATATTTTACAAAAAGACATCACTCGTTTACTTTCAGATTCATTCAGCAGCATATTATTAATTGTATATACATATCTTATCGTATGTACAAATACTATTGGTGTATGTAACTAAAATGTATATAACAAACAGAAATGAAATTCTTTTTTAAATAAAATTATTCCATTGTAGCTACATTTATGTACACATGTCAATTTTCAAAGGTGTGAGAAAAGTGCTCGCACCGAACTCATTTATGATTTTTTTTTGTCATATTCATAATTATATGATAAAATGCTATTTAGATATGCACAACTATCGGACATAAAGTATAATGATCTATTTGTAGAGGCTGGCAGACTACACATCAATCATTGTAATACATAACCTGCATGGCTAAATTTTGGGGGGACTTCAATACTTAATTGATAGGGGGTGTCGCTGGGGTTCTGTTACCCCACCCTTTTCATATAATTTAGATCTTAAAAATGTATACCTTTTCATATATTGCGTAGGTAAAAATGTAACCTTTTCCCATATTGGTTTGGTTTCGTATGGTGTGTTGGAAAAGTGGAATATTTAAGGCTAAGATTCCGTATGTTATGTTTACTTACGGCGAGACTTTCGGCTGTGAAAAAATTACAGGACTTTTCATATACCAGTAATTGGAACTTTATTGACCTTATCATATATTTCTGATAGTTTTCCCCACCTATTCACATATTTTCAAGCTGGAAAATTAGACCTATTCCAGCGGCACGTCCTATCACCTTGTCGCGTTTAACCTTGCCATGTTTTAGTATGTCGTCTGGTGGTTGTCTTTAGTTTAAGTGTTATTGTCTTACTAGTAATTTGGGTTGAAGACATATCATCGATAGTTTCCGTTATATTTAATCTCAATGTCCCTTTTTTGTGGATGCATCTTGATGTCCTTTTTTGCTGTTTGTGGTTACATTCGCGTTTAGCTCAAATCCCCTTTGTTTTCTATTTTGAAACTCAAACAAACATTACTTCATCAAAAAGAAGATTAATAGTAACGCAAAGTGTAATTTCACAATCATTGATGGTAAATCGTGTATATTGTATTAAACAAATTACAAAAAATAGTGCATTGGTGCAAACATTACATAAAAGAGTAACAATTAAAAATAAAAAAAAACCAATCCTGAGTTTTGATCGTTTTGATCGTTTTGTTCTTATAGCAGTTTTGATTTACCCCCGTAATCTTCCGCTGTAAGTGCCCGTTACTATTAGTTGTATTACGAACTCTAAATTCTTAATACCGTGGTCTTTAAACGTTCAATGTTGTTACGGCATCTATGTCCATGCTTCATGATGTTTCTCCTGGAAACAAAAATTGGTGAATACAAAACATGTTTTGTAATGTAAATGCAGTGAACATTCTTCCTAAGTAGGATCTCAAAATTTTGAGATTGCTTGATAATTTGGCAATAGAAATGCTTAGTTTTCAAAATATAAAACATTAGAATAATACTATGGTTACAGATCAACTGTCATTTGTTTTTTACTATAAATCAAAATAAAACTGAGATAAACGTGTTACAAATTGGAACCAACTTCATATTTGTAGAAATTAAAGGTTAAATTCTTAAATCACTACATACATGTATGTTCCCGATAATATTGTTTCATTATTTATTTGTATAAGTACACACGAAAAAAAAATGATGAAAAAAAAATTCAAACAAATATTAAACAATCTATCAAACAAACAAACAAAAAATGACTTACTGACCATTGACGTTCTGTCTTTCGTAGTTTTATGTTTTACTTTCTTGCGCGACCTTTTCTTTAGTAAGATTAATATGATCAAACATATAACTCCGGTAGCACCACAAATTCCTAAGACAAGACTGATTACCAAAGTTCCAAATTCTGAAAGTAAAACATTAATTCAACCTGTTAGTTGCACGTTGATTGATATATATTGAAAGGGAATCTAAAATTAATCAGTGGTTAAAAGGCAAACAAGGAATACATACGGAAGCCCATTTAAGACCTCCCAAAAATATATTTTGAATTCGATATCATGAATTACAATCGTAATCACGAATTGTAGAATTCGTTATCACAGATTAAATTAGTCATGACAGTTTTTGTAAATCAAAACGGATAAAATTAGTTATCACAATGTTTGTAATTCGTGATAACGAATTAAAAACGTGATGACGAATTGTATAATTCACTATCAAAGATTAAATTCGTTCTCACGAATGTGTGTAATTTGTTACATGTATCACAGGTTTTTTTTTGTAATTCGTGATTATTGATTAAATTCGTTATCACAGATTTTTGTAATTCGTAATAACGATTTAAAATCGTTATAACAAATTGTATAATTCCTGATAAAGGATAAAATTCGTAAAAACTATTTCTACGATATCGGGATATCAAATTTAATCCGTTATAACTATTTATGAAAATCATTATTACGATTTTAATCAGTTATCATAAAAAAAATGAGATAACTAATTCTACGAATTCGTGATAACGAATTTAATCCGTTAAAACGATTTATACAATTCGTTATAACGATTTATAAAATTCGTTTTTACGATTTTAATCTGTTATCACGAATAAAAAAAAATTGTGATAACGAATTTAATTCGTAATTACGAATAACAAAAACTGTAATAACTAGTTTCGGAAATTCGTTAGCACGAATTAAATATGTTATAACGAATTGTTCAATTCTTGATAACGATTTAAATTCGTGATGTCGAATTCAAATGTATATTTTTCGGAGGTCCTAAATTGGCCAATCAAACTTAAAACAATTAAAAACTCTTTAAAACAGATTCCCCTAAATGACGAAACGCGAAGAAGGTATGAGGTCGAAATAGGGTGTAAGCAGAAGGAAAAGTATGTCAGTCAAATAAGTAAAATGGACTGTTTCAATGATATTTCGTATCAGCACAGAAGTGCTGCTTATACTGAGTTGGCGGTACCATCAAGGACGAAACTACCAACAACAGCGGCATTTACCCAGTGGTTGTACAATGTAAAAGCTCACCAAATATACAAGGCTTGTACTTTTTCGCATAAGACGCATTTAGCAATAACGAGGTTGAAGAACATTGAGGACCAAACAAAATTTCAATACTTATGCCAAATCTTTGTTTGGTGAAGTGGAAAAACTTTGGTGTTTCGAAAGATTTGTAAACAGCAGGAATTAATTTCCGCCAAAAAAAAAAGTAAAAACAAAGGATAGAAATGGAAACCATAAATAAATCGTATAACGAAATTGATACAAAAATGGATTCTACTAGAGATTCATGAAATTTATCAATTAATAATACTAACAACATGATGACATATTTGAATGAAAAAGGTTTGTCAAACATAAGAATTCATATCGATTATCACCCAGATGTTGAAATTTTTAATATGACCTTTCTGCCATTTGACTCATCAGTTATTTTCTAAATTTGTAAACTTAATATTTTTGTACTTTAGATGTAACAACAACTACGTAAGCATGTTTTGTAATTCCTTAATGAATTCTTATTTTTTTAATTTAAACCGGGTGTTTATATATAATTTATATGTAGATATATATTTAATTATATTTTCTTTGAAACCTAATATGAAAACACCGATACGTTATCTGTTTTCTTCGGGAAAAACATGCAACAATTAGAAGGAAGTATTGATATATAGTTCTTACACATTTCATTCATTGGTTTTAAGTTTACTGCATTTCATCATAAGACAAAAGAATAAAAACCAGTCACGAATGATCTCGCATTATAGTGGAGCGGGAGTGTTGAAAAAGACGCTTAGTTAACGAGTTTAAATTACCTAAATACCTCAAGGAATTTTAATGTCTTAAACTGTCTATCGATTATTCAACTATTTATCGTAAATGTCAAATGTGGTGCCAATGACGTGAAAATCGACATTAACTGACTTTACCTAGCTTTGATCGAAGATCCACTGCTGTTTCGATAGATTAATCTCATAATTAACCCGTTTCGAAAGATTAATCTCATAATTTTGATTTCGCCACCTGCCTAAATACATACCAACAGCTTTTTCCATATTCATTCTAGCCCCTGAAGCGTTTTCGTACAGTTTTAAAGTTTTAAATGTTTCTTCGATAGACTCCTCGTTTTTATTAAAGAGTTGAGTATCGTCAGCAAACATATTTAGCTTTGTTTCAATATAGTCCCCGGTTCTAGTTGGAAGTTTCATTCCTTCGATATTCGGATTGTTTCTAATTGATGCTGCAAATGGTTCTGCTTGCAGAATATATAACATGGGAGCGATTGTGCATCCTTAACGAATTGAACGAGTTATGCTTACAAATTTAGAAGTAAACCCATTAGTTTGAATACACGTCTTAGCGTTAATGAAAAGCATTTTTACCCAACTCCTGAATTATTCCCCAAACCCAAATTTTAATAAACAAAAGTCTACCTATTCCTACTCCGCCCTATCAAATGCTTTTTGTTGGTCTAAGAATTAGATCGTTCCCTCCTCATTTTCTAATTCGCAAAAATCTATTATATCTTGCAGTAATCTATTGCCTTGAAAAATGTTGCGCCCTTTGACAAAACCTTTTTGATCCAAATCAATTATTTGTGGAAGTACGCTTTTTTACCTTTCCACAAGTACTTTAGATATGATTTTATAGTCTATGTTCAAGAGCGTTATAGGACGCCAATTTGTTATGCCCTCTTCTCCCCAGATTTAAACATAAACGTTGTCATACCTCTGTATTGAGATTCACAGAGCAAATTTTTGTCGAAAATTTCCTTAATAACCGCCACGAAGTCGTCGCTTATCAAATATCAATACGTTTTATAAAATTCATTCACAATTCCGTCTTCCCCAGGGGATTTATCAAGTTTCAACATTTTAACGGCATTAGTAATTTCATCAAAAGTTATTTCCATTTCACACATTTTTTTATTTTCTTTACTTAGTTCATGATCTAGATTCTGTAATAGATTTTCTGCAGCATCCCTATCCCACCCCTCGGACGTAAATATTTTTTTGTAGAAAGCTACTTGTTCTTCTAGAATAGATTCTATATCATCTTTATACCTCCCATCTTAACCCTTTATTCTAGTCTATATTTTTTCCGCGCCCCTCTTTTTTTCGAGTTTAAAGAAGTCATTTTTAGTACCCTGTAGATTTTTCGCCTTTCTCGTACCAATTAACCTTAGACATAATTCTGGCTGCTTCGGCTTTTTATTCGTATATATCTTTAATTTTAGCTTTCAAGTTATTTAATTCGTTTTCATTATTGAAAGGATCGATTCCCGTTATATTATTCAATCTTTTTTCCCACTCCCTTATTTGTTTTTCTGTAACATTCAATTGCTTTGCAACTTCTATAGTAATACTTTTTATTTTTATCTTAGTTTCCTCCCACCATTAAAGATTATTTTCGAACTGATTTTTTTTAATTTCCAGTTTCCCCAAAAGCTTTCGAACGTATTTCTAAGTCCGATTGAATAACTGATGAGTTCATTTTCCACGTTCCGGGACCGCGTTCTGGTTCATTAATTTTAAATTTCATGAACACACCGTCGTGGTCGCTGAAAATAAACTATATACCTGTTGCGATTTAGTAATAGGTATCCCATGAGGACGCGGTGTGTCAGTTTAAGATCACCCCGATGGCCGGAGGACAGAGGGTGATCTAACACTGACACACCAAGTCCGAATGGGATAACTATTTTACATCCCAGCTGTTTTAGATTGGACGAAAAACCATTTACAATTCATAAAATCTGGTTTAGAACGCCACACAACTATTATAATATACTTTATATATTACTATATAATATATACCCTTTATGTCCCCCGAACACGATGTTTAAATATGAAACCATGTCAACTCGCCCCACTGGCCAATCGGCTCACACTAAATCGCCACATTCTAAAAAATCGCCCCACTCTTGATTAACAACTCACCCCACTTATGAATAAGGGTAAAATCCCATTGAAAAATCAGTCTGACAACTCGCCTTATTTATGAAAAGGGTTAAAATCCCACTGAATAAAGGTCTGCCAACTCGCCCCACTTATGAAAATATCTTGCTTCCTTTAAATATGTTGAATTACTGAGAGTTGGTATCCAGTCGTCCTGGTCTAGGGGTATGTGTCGTGGGTTGATATGCTAAAGGTCTTGAGTTCGAATCTCAGCATAGACAATGGATTTTTTCTACATAAAATCTGAAAGAGTGTTTTCAATAAATAATTCTAAGTTTTATTGTGGATTAGGCATTCCCGCCTAAATGTTATAAAACAAAGGAAAGCATGCAAAACAAAGAAACTCAAGCTGGGGTGATGTGGTAGGGATGATCCGGCTCAGATCACCCCTGGTAGAACAAAGGAGCTGGGATGTAATATTGAAGTTCACTACTTATTAAAATATAATCAATTCGTGACCTTGAGTTACCCCGACAAAAAGTATATTGTTTGTCTTTAGGGTATCGCTTTCTCCACACGTCTTTTAACTCTCTATGCTCGACAAATGTTTTTAATTCATGTGATCCTATGTCGTCTCGAAAAGGCACCGGTTTTCGATCTAAATTTTTATAAGAGAACAGTTAAAATCCCCAAGGACGATATTTCTATCATTGTTATCAATAAGTATATCTTTTTCAAAAAATAATTTTCTGTCACCAGCCAAATTGGGAGCATAAATATTGTAAATATAAATCCCGTAATTACCAGGCGTTTTAACATGTACAGAAATTGTTCTATCATTAGTATCACGTCCGGTTTCAGTGATTTCAAATTTATTTTTTTCTGAAAAAAGAATAGCCACCCCTTTTGAATTACTTGAACCATGGTTCCAAAACTTTCCCCCTTCCATTTATTTTTCCATTTTGTTTCGACATCGCTGGAGCTATGTGTTTCTTGCCAATATATTACATCAATGTTTTTTTTTTTACACCAATAAAAAACGGCATTCGTTTTTTATTGTCTACCATACCATTGACATTTAAACTAACAATATATATTGACATAATACAAAGTTATAGTTATGGTGAAACAATGCTTTGTTTTGTTCATTCATTATACGTGCTACATATATGTTAACAAGTATTTATACACAAATATATGGATAGAAAGGCTAATACAATCACAATCGTTTCATTCTGTTCGTACATATGAAAGTTCACTGGGGTGAGCATACACCAGCAACAGCTACTTTTAACTATAAATAAATAATCAACTTTATTCATTTTTCCAACTCGTGATCTAGGACGAAACCTACTTGGTTATACCTACTGAATTACTGTTAATGCAAGACTAAACTTAAGAAGCAATACATGGATGCCACCATTGTGTGCTCATCAAGGACAAGGTAAATCGAGCATTTTACTTGAAAGCGACATATCAATTGGCGATGCCAATAAAGCCGTGAATAACATCAAAGCAAAATCGGAAATTCTCAAAAGCTGACAGACGGTGGTGTTATCAGCTGTCCTACTTTACGTTGTAACCACGAATAGGCAGATACCACAATGATTTTACATGCTTTTTACGCTGATGCTATGTTTGGTGAAAGACGGTAAGGATAGAATTGGTATCAAATCAGATGATAATGATGTTCTTGTTCTGGCTGTCCATTTCTACTTGATGCATAGAATTACAAAAGAAGTATGGGTTCAGTCTGGTTCTGTTGACAGCTTGAAGGATAACAAACTATCTATTCCAGTTCACGCCACTGTTTCGTCTTTTGTTCCAGTTGTCTCCGAAATTCTGCCGATCATTCATGACTTGAGTGGATGTGAATCTACTTCAAGTTTTTGTGGAATACGTAAAACGTCGGAATGCAACCTTCTTAGGACGAAAGCAATCCACTTCAGTAATCGTGTAGAATTAGCACACGGTTACTATAGATGATGGGTGTTTGTTACTGCGTTGTACATGTACGACTTGAAATACAGGTTCAATAAATCGCACAACAATTTATATTTGCTAAGACAACAGTTGGCTATATATAAAAGCATAATAAAGCTTCCGCCATGTTAATTAGTGTTTAGAGTTAAGAGAAGACGATAATGCATTGTCACAAACAAGTGCCAACTTACCAAAAGTAGAATCAAAGATATCGTAATCTTTAGAACGGAACTGCATGCTGAATAAATGAGGCAAGAGCAAAACAACATAAATTGGTCCGGTAATTTAATTTGAACAACATTTTTGACACCCTAAATATAAGGTTTTTTTTTATAATATTAAGCTTTATGGTAATGGGGGAAAATGCGCGAAAATTTAATAAACAGCTGCGCTCAAATGTCATGATTATTTACCGCAATATCAAAATTATCTAGACGTAATTCAGTCTTTCCCGGACATTGGTCTAAGTCACACTGTATTATTTCATTACTGGATTTAATACAATCAGGACCATAGTACGAAGGCCTTAATCTGGTAATTATTCCATCCCCATAGGGTACTGAACAAGAGGAGTCTGTCCACGTAATCCACTGTAAAGCAACTTATAATTCAAAAATGAGTCAAACTCTCAAATGGCCAGGCTATAACTAATCAATGTAGAATGTTTACAATGTAATTATAATCACATTGAGCTTGTTAATTTTGCTGTAAAATAACTAAGTTTCTAAGTCCAGAAAAATATTATAGCAGGTGCACAACTTCACATGTGTATAATCTTTCTGTGTAGCATTAGGGATCTGGGTTGAAAACTTTAGGAAAAGTTGAATACACAAAATATGTACCCTCTTTCATAATTTTTGCTGAAAAATTACCTTAGTCTGGAAAAAGTGATTTTGTTTTAAAACAATTCCATAATAGCAAGCGCACAGTTTTAGCATGTATTCAATATTCCTATAACGTTGCAAAGATCTGGGTTGAAAACTGTAGTAAAAAGCATACAATACAGTAGAACATAAGCTCTTGAGAGCTTTTAGAACCGACTTACTTAAAGTACAAATTAACATAACAGATAACACTAGACAAACATGCAAGAACACATATATAAGTTTATCTACACATACACATGCCAAGCAAAATAATGATAGCAGAAATGAAACATAAATTAGCAAAGCTTTAAACTAAGGACCACTAGTTTGTAATAAGCATATTTAAATTGATTTATCTCATATGGTTCTAAAAATTTACTGCAGAATATTAAAAGTGATATAAAATTAAAACGATAGTAGGACATATATATTGAATTTGAATAACGATAAAATATGATACAGTGAACGCGAATGACGAAACATTCAAACATTCTTTCAACATTTGTCATGGAATGAACAGTTAAGGATAAACCCCAACTTTTGATCTCTGTCCGAAGAAATGTAATGTGTTGCAATAATAATTAAAATTTTATGATTGTATTTAGGGTGGATCATCGGTATATATTTCCTCAGATAAAATTTTGTTATATTTGCCAAAATGGATATTTTACCATGCTTTTTTCAAAAATATGATAAAAAGTATGGGTCACCGTGCTATTTTTCAAGCTACAAGTTGTGCAAAAATGCCTAATATTGCATAGATTGTTCATTAAAAAACACAATTTTGTGAATAAAAAGATATCTATGAAATTGAATTTTGAAATAAAATATGAGATGATAGGTTTTATAATATGCTTCTAAGAAAATAAAAATAAAAATGGTGTCACCGAACTTGTTTTCTTGCTAGAAGTAAAAAATTAAAATTTCACTATCATTCCAGTATAAGATTTTTACTATACGAGTTATCTCCCTTTAAATGGCTGAGTTGAAAAATTGATACTAAAAACACAAATATTTGGTATTTGTTTAAACATTTTGGATAATGCAATAAATAAAGGCAACAGTAGTATACCGCTGTTCAAAAGTTATAAATCGATTGAGAGAAAACAAATCCGGGTTACAAACTAAAACCGAGGGAAACACATGAACTATAAGAGGAAAACAACGAAATAACCGAACACAGAAGTGCAATAAAAAACAAACAACAATGCAACATTCATAGAAACGAACTATTAAATAACAACTGCCATATTCCTGACTTGGTACAGGACATTTTAAGTAAAAATGGTGGGTTGAACCTGGTTTTGTGGCTAGCCAAACCTCCGCGCTTTATGGCAATGTTAAATATAAATAAATCACTTATTTTTCTTTATACAAATAAACAGTCTTGCATATAAATGGAAATCTGTCTCAAAATAAGCAGATTTAGGCAAAGAACTAGCCTGATTGTGTACTGCTATTGTTCAATCCGAGATGGCGGTAAACAGTGAATCTACCTTTAGGTACAGCAGGTGTCTTCAGTCGTTAAATAGCAGAAAACAACCGGCCTAGATCTTTCAAATGAAATGTGCAAATTTTGAGAGACAAATAAAATTCATTTGTAAGATTTTTCATCTTAATGAAGTAAATTGTGTGTTTTATCTTATTATTACGACTGTTTTACAAATATAGGATCCGTTTTGTTTAATGCATTTTCCCCCCACCTTAGCATTTTAAAGGGAGATAACGCATATAATCTTACTTTTATAAAGGAATTTGAAGTACATTAACCTATTTTTGTTTTATAGGAAGATAACGAAAATAAGTTCCGTGACTCCAATTGTTTTTTTATTTTATAATATATACCTTACTTGACAATTTTTAACAACTAGTAGCTTGAGTATAAAAAAAAACTCCGTCACCCATACTTTTGTTGGTTATTTTTGAAAAAAAAAAAAATTTAATTAATATTTTGACAAATTATCAAAAATTCTATCGATGTTAATTTGGACCCCTATCTACCTTAACCTATGTTTGGCTGTATTTTAAAGATATGAAACTGTATGATAATGGGGAAAAAAGCTTGTAATTTAACCGCATATCGCGCTCAAATGTCATTGAGATTTACAGTAAAAGAAATGAACCCATATCAAAATTATCTAAACTTAATTTAATCTTACCTGGACAAGGGTCTAAGTTACACTGTATTGTTTCATTACTGGATCCGATACAATCAGGACCACTGTCTTTAGGCGCAGGATTATCACAATTCCTTGATCTGGTAATTATTCCATCCCCGCAGGTCACTGAACAGGAGGAATCTGTCCACATACTCCATTGTCCAGCAACTTCTTTTATAAAAATGGGCAAAAAGATTCAAATGACCGGGTTGTAATATTTGTGACTAATCAATGTAAAATGTTTATAATGTAGTTGTAATTACATGAAGGTTCGAAATTTATTTATGGTAAACAGATGATCGTTACGAGTTGGAAATGCAAAGGACCCCAAAGTCAAATGACCTATACATAGTTCTCGTTTCTCATTTTTTATATAGATTAGACCGTTGGTTTTCATGTTTGAATTGTTTTACACTAGTCATTTTGGGGCCCTTTATAGCTTGCTGTTCGGTGTGAGCCAAGGCTCCGTGTTGAAGGCCGTACTTTGAACTATAATTGTTAACTTTTAACATTGTGACAATTTTGAACAACCTGTAGCTTGATACAAAAAAACTCCGTCACCCATAGTTTCATTATATTTTTGAACAAGCACAATTTAAACAACATTTTGGCAAATTATCAAAAAAATCTATTTATCCCATAACTACCTATACATAAGTTTGTATTTTTAACAATATTAAGCTGTATGGTACGTGGGGGAAATGCGCGTAAACTAACTAAACACTTGCGTAAAAATGTCATAATTATTTAACGTAAATGAAATGAACCCACATCAAAATTATCTAGACGTAATTCAATCTTTCCCGGACATGGGTCTTAGTTATACTGTATTGTTTCATTACTGGATTTAATACAGTCAGGACCATAGTATGAAGGCCTTGATCTGGTAATTATTCCATGACCGTAATGTACGGAACAAGAGGAGTCTGTCCACGTAATCCACTGTCAAGCAACTTATAATTCAAAAATGGGCCAGTCTCAAATAGCCAGGTTATGACTACTCAATGTAGAATTTTACAATGTAATTGTAATTACATGGAACTTGTTAATTTTGCTGAAAAATAACTAAGTTCCCAAGTCCGGAAAAGTATAAAAGCAGGCGCACACCGTCAACATGTATAATCTTAGTGTATAGTATTAGAGATCTGGGTTGAAAACTGTAGGAGATGTTGAAGCCCTCTTTCATAATTTTGCTGAAAAATAACCCAAGTCTGAAAATTTTTATTTATTTTGAAAACAATTCCATATCGCACAGTTTTAGCATGTATGCAATATTCCTGAAATGTTGCAAGGATCTTTGTTTAAAACTATAGGAGGAATTGATTACACAAACAAGGCACACACTTTTCACCGCCCATCCGCTCGCCCATTCGCCCAAACTGACCATAAAGTGGGATAATGTTTTTACATAAATACATTTCTGAGTAAACTATTATAATGACGTTTTGGTCTATTTTACCCTTTATATATGTATACGGTAAACACAATATTCCAATGAAAACAAGTTTGAATAGTTTTTGCGGAATGGGCTATACAATGTACGTTTGTGAGTGAGTTTAACATTACTCACCTATTGAACAATTTGACGAATCAAATGAGTTGATGTTAGTCTCTGTATTAAAGTCATAACACGTTGCTGTAAAGGAACCGTCAGTCAGACTTGATTGGTTGTTTTTCCAAATTAATAAATCTGTCATAGTGCAACATACAAGCGGATTATCTGTTATTTGTCTGAAAGACAGATTCATTCATTAGCTTATTTAACAATTTGTTTCGCTTTTATTATTAATTAATTTCTTTCTGGTAATTCTGTGAATTGTTAAAATTATATCGCATCTGTTTTCTTAAATGCAATTTAGAAGGATAGATTTAGTTGCCTGCTATACATCTAGCTATGAATTTCGCTTTAACGGTGCTTATTGTTATAAATTAGGCCGTTAGTTTTCTCGTTTGAATTGTTTCACATTTAATTTCTTGCCGTGTCCTTTTGCAGCTGGTTATAAGGTATGAGGTTTTCTCATTGTTAAAGGCTGTACTGTAACCTATAATTGCTTACTTCCACGTCATTTGAACTCTGGTGGACAGAAGTCTCATTGACATTTACAGTGGCGCTGTTCCTGTGCTTTAGGTTGCGCCTAGGAATTTTTTTTATTAAATTAAGTACCATATCACTTCATTTCCAACATAAATATGTAAAACACATACACACATATGTATGTATATGGATAAGTGTCAAACGATGAATTTGTTTACTGTTACATAACACATACAGTAATCTGTATTTAAAGAGTGGAGACTGTATTCTATTTCTTTATTTCAAATTTTTCGCAGCAACTATCAATATATATCATGATCAGATATGTCATGGGGATTTCCAATATCAACTGCTAGGAAACAGCTGCCAAATAAACAAAGGTGAAAAAAACTGTCAAAATAGGTGCAATTTAGGTTCCCTTATCTTATATATAAACTTACATTGTAGTTATTGATGTTATCGCCCCAAATACAGCAGCTGATACCATGGTAAGATTATTTTCTTGTACATATCTGCAATTGAAATATTGACCGTATAAAATACGACAAAATCCTTAAAGTAACAACGTTAAAGGATAAAATAATTACCTATTCGAGAATAGCATGGTATTATGTACCATTTTACTTGTGTCTTTGTTTTGTCGACGCCAATACAGAAACAAGAGAGTTAAATGAATTGTATGAGCTTGCTTTTATTGTATTTTTGTAATGTACCTTTCCATTCTCAATTTTACTTTGTATTATGCTATTGACAAATATAACGGGTCATGTTAGATTAGAGGCTAAAATCAAACAAACATAATCGAGTAACTAAATTAATTACTAAATTAAAAATAATTCAATTATTTTTTCTGAATTGAATGGACAAAATATGATTCCTTATCAAGGCATTTGACTACATTTCTTAGTAACTCTACCAATATGCGCTAAAAACCCTCACATATTAGATATTCATTAGTAATATACCTGCTGTAACATAACACAAAATTATATGCAAGGTAAATAACCGATTTGTTCATAATCAAGATGTGTGTAGAAAGTACAATAAAACAACCATTAGAGGATATTCGTTTTACTTACACATTTACAAGATTAATGTTGGCAGAAAATAACCCTGACGGTAAGCTGGTTATTTGGTTATCTTGTAGATATCTACAAAAACAAAACCATACAATGCATGTTTTTCATTGGGTTTGAATCAAAAAGAATAGTATCGAATGTGATGCTTTCGATGTGCTGGTATGGATTACTTTGACGAAACGATTTGGCACAGCATAAATTGAGAAATCAAAACTAACCTAAAGCAAACCCGTTTACAGTATATATCAACTGAATATTTAACAAAATGTATGTAATAAGTAAATGATTTTATACTAAAGTTAACCCATTCACATTTTCTAGTATTAAATAAGCATCTGAATATCTTATTATCATGAAAATTGTAACGTATGCTCAAAATATTCTGATTAGAAGTAATTACTTCGTGCTATTGTTTACCATTTGTTAGAAATGTGTTTCAAAAGTACCTAATATAATGACAGGCTAGAAGAATCGACATAATTCTGTTATTTAACCTTAAGTGTTGAGCTTGCATGACGTCTGTTACGTATAATACATTAATTTTGTAATGGTCGATAGAATGTTTTTGAAAATTAAGTTATCTCCTGCCAAGTAGAAAGACCAAGAACATAACTCAAATACGAAAGATGTAAATACATACAAAATATCTTGGGGTTTTTTAGACGACCTTGTGATAATTATATAATTATGCATTTAATAAAACAGTAACATGACAATTCGTCAAATTGCTCTATATTTGTCTGCAAAGAAAGCGAATCATATCAGTGTTTAACCAAATCTAGTTCGTCGCTACTATACATTAATGCAATCAAAATACAATATTAATGATTTGAATCCAGAAACATACATGCGTTCTAACGATGTAAGATCTTGAAACGCATTGGCTGTTATACTGATAATCTCATTATCATTTAAATGTCTGAAAAAGAAAGAAAATGATATGTTTATCTTATTATTACGATCTTTTAATAAATAGAGAACATGTTTTGTTTGATTAATATTTTTCTTAACTTAGCAATATAAGGGGATATAACTCATATAATTTAACTTTTATAAAGGAAACTGTAGTAAAATTATGGAACACTTAGTTAGTCATTAATAATCACTAGGATAAACAGTCAACTTAACATTTTGTATAGACAGTTGGGTATTTTGACAACAGTATGATGACCTTATTGTTGTGTTGTATTTTGAAATAAAATGACCTTTTAGTGATTTAGTGATCTAACTAGAATTGGAACTAGCTTGATTGGTCTCTAGTTAGAGTCTGGTCATTGTTACAATGCATTCATGAGATATAGAAATTCTAGCTCCCTACAAGAAAAACACCTACTCTGTCCTGTGGTACAAACTTTTTAAATGAACCTTACTACATATCCTATGTTCTGAGCAACACATATATTTAATTTTATTTCGGGACAAAATATTTATTTAAAGCGGCATTATCTGCTCAATGTTTAACCATCTCATCTAATATTTGATTTATAACATAGTAAAATGTATTTCAGAATTGCAAAATGCAATGCAAGGAATCATGATCGTGGTAGATATCAATAGCGTGCGTTTATGAGAATGAATGACAAGATTTCGATGGGAGTGTGACCCCAAAATAGATATAAATTCAAATAGACAGGTCAGCATGTGTTATAGTATATGCCAATTTTCTTAGTTCTGTTTGATTTCATACCTTTTATAAATAATGAAATAATGTGAATCTTCGTTTTACGTGTATCAAAATGCTTTTTTGTGCGGGTCGAACAATCCAGGCAATCGGTCTTTCTCCTGACATCCCTAGTTTGTTTTTTTCCATCTGGCATTCCTTTTTAAAACTGAACATGCTGAGCACATTGACAGTTTCCAACTGAGGTCACGTCATAGATTGCATGCATACGTCTTCATATTGTGTCGAATAGATGACTAGACTAGCAAGACGTTTATTGTAACACCAAAATGGTTCAAATTGACTGTGCTATGTACTTACAACTTTTGCAATTCTGTGAATCCAGAAAAAACGCTATCATCAATTGCGATGAGACGATTTTTTTCTAAATGCCTGAAAAAAAACCAACATATAATGCATAAGAAAACACTAACAGATTACAGTTACATGCATCTAATTGAAACTTGACATATTTTGAGAAACCAGCCCTTAACAACAAATGCGTAAAATTGATACGTTTTTTGTTGTTTTTTATCTAATGTGTATATAAATGTATACAGTGGGTTCAAATTATTTAAACAAAAAACTGTTGACGACGAAGTTCATATGAACGAACTCCCGAAAAACAATGTGGTCAGGTAATTTGGGATTAGAGACATGAGAATCAATCCTTACAGATGTATATTAATGGAAAAGAAGGGATGTTGGGAATTGATTCATGAATTAAAATTTCTACACATACTTGACATGTTAAGAGAAAAAATAACAGAGTTGTTATTGCTGTTCTTCATCTCAAAATCACAGTGAGTCTTTCAATAATGAACAAATGGTCACACCTTACTGAGCATGTCTTGTATATAACTGGTTGTATTAAAGTGTTTCAAATTTGACAAAATATCAATCAGTTGCGGATGCAGGATTTAAAAAGGTGATGTCGGAAGAGCCCAAAGAAAGGAATTGTTTAAAAATACAACAGTGACAAATCGGAAAAATGTGCTACATGTATACACACGTTGTTTTGTCATAAAAGGGAGCCGTTGCCATTATTTTGTCTTCTATAGTTTATCTATATTGAGAGAGTCTATAGAATGATGATTGTTGAATAACATTCAATAATATGCAGTTGTTTGTTTCCCTTCCGTATATTTTCGATTACTTTATACACAGTCATGTATACCTGTTTCTTGTTTTAATTTAAGGAAATAGATAAGGTGATTTATCATTTTGTTGTATATCTTGTCACATAAAATTATATATGTTATACTGTTTACATCTAAGGTTACAAAAACTATTATAAATTCAATATAACCGTGGGTCAGCGTACCCTTATTTAAAACTTGTAGAACATCGAAAATAATAAGTTTTGATGGTAATAACTATTTTCTTTCGCTATAATTCTTTTCAATTCATCTCAATTAGTACTATCTCTTCAATAAGGAGACATGATGGGGATCTTATTTTACGTACTTAATAAAAGGTCAGATTGTTTATCTAACTTTATCTAATTGACTTCTTTTGAAATTTAAGATGCGATTGGTATCTCTAGGTGTGAAGTGCGAAATACTTGCACAAATGAAAACTTGTTAAAAATCCTTTTTAGGACAAGGACATCTACAAATATTTCTTTTGAGAATGAAAATTAAACTGAAAATTCGAATATTAACACAAAATTTAATATTACAATTTATACAGTAAATGATCATACAACTGCAGCAATTATATATTATAATATCAAACTTATTTCTTTTAAGCTAGAAGTCAAATGTACTAATTCCTGGATCAAGCTCTAAATACATAGAAATATATTCAAGTAATACTTTTTTAACTTCAGTATATATTTTTCAGTTCCTATCATACTAAAATAAATCTATTTTTTAAAGAATATTCTGTATTTCTTAATATGAAAATCATGAAATATATGTTTTACTGTGCGTATTACTGTGTGTTTGTTTATTCTACATTGGCTAGAGGTATAGGGGGCGGGTTGAGATCTCACAAAACATGTTTAACCCCGCCACATTATTGCGCCTGTCCCAAGTCAGGAGCCTCTGTCGTTGTTAGTCTTGTATGTTTTTTAATTTTAGTTCATTTATATGTTTTGGAGTTTAGTGTCACGTCCATTTTCATTGAACTAGTACACATTTTGTTTAGGGGCCAGCTGAAGCCCGCCTCCGGGTGCGGTATTTGCTCGCTTTGTTGAAGACCCATTGGTGGCCGTCGTCTGTTTTCTGCTGTTTGGTCGGGTTGTTGTCTCTTTGACACATTCACCATTTCCATTCTCAATTTTATTTGACTATATAGTTGAAAACATTGATTATTTCATAAATCCTTGTTCACTTTCATTATTTCAATCGTCTCTCTACTGATAGGCAGTTAGTACCTGAGGCTATCGAAAGCCCAGTAACTCAGTAATTCTGAACTGGCATTAAAAGACGGATATTTTTTTTATTAAAATTTGCTGTAACTGTTATAAATCTTAGAAAATAATTTAATTTAAGGAACGTATCTCCCCATGAAAAGCTCTAGTTCCTTCTCCGGATTTGATTATAGATTTGTTTTTTTTGGTTTTATCAGCTCTCCAAAGGTTTTTAGATTTTTTAGATCTTGTCTGAATTGTTGAAAAGCTCATTGGGAGCAGTAAAATGTGTAGCATTAATGTTAATACAGCCATAAACACTAATAATACATGGGACGAATTTGCATGAAAGACCAAAAAATACAAAAGGGGATAATATTTTGGCCGACGTTTACTTAGGCCCTCAATAATTGGTAAAGGCATGTATAAATGTATGATCATAATATTTTTATACATGTATAAAGACAATTTGTATAAATTCGTGGAAATATATAGAGATGTGGTATGATTGTCACTGAAACAACTATCCACTTAAGACCTAAGAACTAGCGAATAAACAATTACAAGTCACCGTGCGGCATTCAACAATGCACGAAACACAAGTCACCGTACAGCATTCAACAATGCGCAAACCACATACAACATAACTACATTATTTCAGGTAATACGATATTTCCAATCATAATTTTCGTTTTTTTTTTACTGCTTAATTTGAGGTCACGATTATAAATTCACACAAAATTTTTAAATTTGCATTAGCTCATGCATGAAATTTGAATACTATTACGGTACATATGTGCACAACATTAGGTGTCATTAGTTGGAGGAACATCTTATTCTTTTGGAAAACTTGAGGTACTTATTGCTCAATCATGGTTAATATTTTGTGGGCTTTAATTTTTCTCCAATGTATTTGTGGATTTCCTTGGTCTTCTCTGACGTTTTATTACTGAATATCCTTTGACATCTTCTTACTTTATTTACATATAATTTGTATAAGTGAAGAAATCTGATTAATTGCATCGATTAAGACAACAATTTTACTTTTATCCTCGAGCAGTTTAAAAAGTTTGTTTATTATGGAGCTTATACATTGTGGTTTTCGACCAGAAAACTAAATCACTTCTACAACATTTAGATTTTATTGATAAATAAAGTAGACTTAAATTTATTAACTGGAAGAAAAAATCCATATAATGTGTTTTTAACGTTCGACTGTCTTCCTCTGTGGTTTCAAATCATCTGTCAAATGATGAATTTGATTTTTTAATTGCCAACTTGAAGGAATAATGCGTTGTAATCTTATGGAAGTTTGAGGTTTCTCACAAAATAATGCACTTTATCTACCTATAAATAATTTATTGCACATTTACTTTTATGACGAATGACATATCAGGAATATTTGTAACTTTTGATTCCATTTGATAAAACATTTTGCTTAGATGTTTCATTTTGATTGTTCAGTCATTCACCTGTAAATTTAAAGTTCTTTTTCTGATATAACAGGTACCAAGTGTACCAGTCTCTAAATAATGTTTTCCCAAAATTACACATTGTATAATTCTTTTCATATTGAATGTTTTCAAAGTTTTTATTAATTTAATGGACAAATAACACTAAATGTCGAAGTAGATAGCGGTTTTGAAAAAAAAAAATCAATTATTTGTGAATCAATGACCAATAATGAACTTCGGTTGTTTTAACGAACAGTTTTTAAAGTAAGTGTTAGGAAACTTAGAGATTATAAATTAACAACAGTTGTGTGAATTTCACAAGCAGAGAACATGGTTATTTACGAGATTATTGTCAGTTCGGAAACGGTTAAAACGTGTAATTTGCATGACAAAATTGAACTTGCAATATTGAAAAAAAACTGACAAAACATTTACTTATAGAAAGCCTCTCTTTTTAAAATAAGAATGCCGATCAATTCCGAAGTTGAACAGCATTGAAAACCAAAGCGTTGTTCCAAATCTGGCATAGGTTATCTATGCCTGGAGTAGAAAACCCTTTGTTTTCAAATTACATATGTTTTGTAACATATAATGAACAGTAAAATTACAGAAAATCACTACATCAATGATATTTCATGTCAACACAAGATATGTGGCTACTGGTCTGGAGATACTACGAGAACGAAACGTCCACCGGCAATGGAATCGACCATGTTTTTGTATACGCATCAAAGATCCAAGGCTCAAAATTCAATACACTAGACGATTGTTTCCTATACACTGTAGCTAGCGCTTAAAATCAATAAAATTAGAATGGGAATTAATGGTGCTGAATAAAATGTAATCTGTCAAAATTGAGATCACATTTACATAACTACTGAGAAAACTGGATGTTAAGCCGGAATACATATTTTGGCATTAAGTCTTGATGTTTCCATTTCATTTACTTTACGACAAAAGAGATGATTTCAGCTTCACAATTGTGAACTTTCCATTTCTATGTAGCAACATTCCAGCAGCGCCTGCATACAGAGTTTTTATCTCCCAATTGATACTATAATCCAGGGATTGTATTTCCTATCATGATTTCCTTGATAGAGGGTTGCTGCTCACAAGGAAGCTATTAAACTAAGAGTTCCAAGTGGTGAAGTTGAAATCTTCACTTCGTAAATTTTACGGACGCCATCACGAGTTGGTTGACCGTTACGGAGTATCCGTTTCACAGATGACAACGGATATGTTCCAATTGTCGTAACTACAATCGAGTCCCCTTTTCCCCGAATGTGACCTACCGAATTAGACATACCACCGGATTTGTACTAACATGTGCAACACGACGTTTGCCACATGTGGAGCAGGATCTGCTTACCCTTCCGGAGCACTTGAGATCACCCCCAGTTTTTGGTGGTGTTCGTGTTGCTCAGTCTTTGGTTTTCTATATTGTGTTATGTGTACTGTTGTTAACTTTGTTTGTCTTTTTCTTTTTTCAGCCATGGCGTTGTCAGTTTATTTTCGACTCATGAGTTTGAATGTCCCTTTGGTATCCTTCGCCTCTTTTTTTAAAAACAATGTTGCTTTAGAAC